AAGATGACAGAAGTTCTGTCGAAACATGTCTTTTAAACTTAAAAAAGTGGTCGTTTTCCTTAAAATCTTTACATGTCTGCTGCTATCTAGACCTTTTGTAAATTAAAGTATATGGATAGCTCCCACGGAATGGCTTACGAAGACAATCCTTTATGTTATGACTTACCCAGTGTATATCTTTTCCCTCTAAATTCATCATCCTTGGAATGCTTGGTCCACATAAGTCAAGACACCATCCTGATCCAGCATGCCAACCTGGAAGATAAAGAGATAACAAAAAGATTAGCCATTTATTGTGATCAAGGTAGTACTGCTGTAACAATACATCCTTGAAGACAATTCTCTGTTACCAGTGGCAGATCTACAGATTTTCACCGGGGTGACTCTGGGGTAGGGGGGAGAAAGACAGAACGTGCTGGGAGGAAGGCAAAGTGAATATTTTGAATCCGAGACAGGATTTTTTTCTTAAAAGTGTCACCAGTTCACACATCATGTGGCCAATACTGTAAATATTCTGATAACAAATCTCTCCCAAACGTAAAACATGAAAACAAGACCAATCCAAAACATAGAAAATTGTCCGATAAATTTTCTCCCCGCACCCCTTTCCCAACCCTCCCAATGCGTACGAATCAGTGACTGAACGCAACGATATCAGCTTACCTTCTTTCCTTTGCGCTTGCTGTAAAGAGTCCCTGCTATCTGTGTCGTAACAGTACTTTTACCAACTCCTCCTTTACCGGACAACTAGAATCACGTGCTTGATAGATTTTATCACTTCTTCAAGAGTTTGCTCTGACTGACCTGAAAGTTACAAACAAAAACCACATCGTAACACAGTGGGAATTACAGTCAGCGCCTTTGCTGTACTCTGCTCGGACTCTAGAGAGAGAGGACAATGTCGCTAAGCATGCCAATAACATATTAAGTCTTAGTTTGTCTTTAGCCTTCAGACAGAAGGAATTACCGCGACTGAGCACATTTTCCAGCCCTTTTCCGTAGAGGAAGCTGGAATTTTTTTATTCGAAAAAGTAACATAAAAGGACTTACACTTCGGCCTAGTTTTACTTTAAAGAAAAAAGAATAAATACACCCTTTGTGCAAACAGCAATTTTCAACAGATTCGTTGTACGACAGTACTCACCCGTCCGCCATCTTGAATTTGAGAAGGAAACTGCTGGTCATCCTCTCCTACAGTCGGCTCTAGAGGCTTTCCAGCACTCGCGCTTGGAACCTCTAGCTGAAAGGTCATCCTCGGAGACCCAGGGGCAGTTAGAGTTAGTCGTGACGACGCAATATTCTCGGTCGACGCGATATTTTCTAACTGCCCCTTGGTCTCCCAGGATGCTGACAGGTTGGCCTGAAATGTCAGTCATCTTCCGCCTTCAGCCTAATCTCCAGGGGATTAAGCTGAGGGTGGGAGATGATCGGCATTTCAGGCTACTGAAAGATATGTACGAAACCCATATGAAATCAGGGACCGTGGAGGAGGAGGAAGGGCTGTAGCCCTACAACTTACTTGTTTGGATTGAGTTTTTCAGGGTTTCAAATGACATGGACAATGTACGAATTTTGCTACTGGACTGGACTGAACTGAAATGGCCGAACAGTGACCCCTTTATGGAATAATTATATCCCACGAGACACTTAATTTTTTTCGGTACAAACACGAGCCTTTAGCCGAGTGTGTATACCAAGAAGATACAAGTGTCTCGTGGGATATTCCTTGGTATACCACTCGAAAGCGACAGACAGTGCTCGACTTGCCAGTCAGTCGATCGTGTTATAAGTCGATCTGGTCCGTTGAAAGTGATTGGTCAGTTTAGCCATGATGATATTGGCTGAAAGACTCCTTTTAAGGTTACCGAAGATGTTTCATTTGCCGAATTAGTCGAATTCCTCTGGGGGACAGCTTACTATTAGAGTTATCTTCATATTGTTATAGCGTAGAGTTAGAGTTGCAAAATCCTGAATTCAAGATTTTGGAGGGCCAAAATCCTCCTGAATTCAAGATTTTGGAGGGCCAAAATCCTGAATTCAGGATTTTGGCCTTCCAAAATCTTGAATTCAGGATTTTGGCAGTCGTTAACTCTAACTCTAAGTCATTACTCTACTGAAACAACTCTATTGCTAGTCGATCTCGTTTCTTTGGGAGTACTCGATTTTTCCGAATTACTCGGATCTTCACGGAGGTTATCGAAGGTTACCGAAGATGTTCTTTTTGTCGAACTAGTCGGATTTCCAAATATTGATTTCTTCGACGATGTTCGATTTGCCAGATAAATCGTATTTCTAAAGATATTCTTTGCATGCTTTGACGGTGCTCGATTTGCCGAATTAGTCGGATGACCGAAGATGTTCGACAACGCTTCCATTTTTCTCGGAGGTTACCCAAGATGTCCGAAGTTTTCCGAAGGTCACGAAATATCGGACGATGAATAATGAATGATACCGTGAGCGCAGTTCCTGTCTTCAGTTCCAGTTTCTACAATGCGTATAGGTACAGTTCGGAGGATTCTAACACCCATAACAAGGCTTCGATTGAGCCTGGAAAAAACGTGGTATAAGCCCAATCAAAAGTTAGAAATAGTCACAGAGAGTCATTTTTCACGCTAATTTCACGCTTGAGCATGACACAGCCACACAGGACTATATAGGTCTACATAACAATACATTTTCATACAATTGAGCTGCTATAGCCCCACCGAGAGCCAGTTATAACATCTTCCTGATAACAACACAAAGCCTTTGTAAACTCATGTAACCACATACAACCAAACTTTAAGCTAGCTTGGTTACATTCCAGAAAGAACTTTAAAGTACATTGTCATTCAAAACCTTACAAAGTCCTACAGGACCATACATCATTAGATATTCCCCATTGTTTTACATAGTCCAACATAGCATTACATATAAGTTATTGACTAAGCGTGAGGTCAAGAGAGCTGGATATTAGCCAAGTTCTTTGTTCGTTGAGGCCGGGAAATCGCACTGGCTTCATCGTAGAGAACATCCTGAGGATAGAGCAAGAACCTTTTTCCTGTCGTTTGTAATTTATAACAAGTCAATAAACTGTTTAGAAACAACAAAAGAAAATAATTAGTAACTTAACCACAAACCCATAAATTTTATCGTAACTTCAGTATCATCCATAAATTTTCTTTTCACGAAGAAGTTCTTCTAATTCTCGATTACCGGCAGCAACCCAATAAATAAGTATTCCTTCTTTATGCAGAAAATAGAAAGACAACATGCAAACGCTGCCTAAGCACACAGTCCATTTTGACGTAAGAAAGACTCCAAACCAGTCTTAATCCATGTCATGCATTAGGTCAGTGAAGCATTAATTCGACATAAAAACTACTCCTGACCTTGTCAGTGCTTCTAGAAGCAAAAACTATAATATCAATTCACATTTTAGCCAATGGCATTATTGCTGTATATGAACATTAATAAATTTACTGATCCAGTTCGTTGTTGATCATACAATCCGCGGATATTGTGTCCACATTTCTTCCTTCCTCCAAGTTACTGAGAAGTACAACTAGCTCTTGAAAAACCCAGATCAAGTGCTTATTCATTAGAATTTTGACAGCAGAAAAAAAAGCAACAACAACAACAAAAACGAAAACCTGCAACCCCAGCTTGAATACAGACACAGTCCTCGGGGGGATCCATATAAGCCAGAAGCGCTGAGGCAGTTCAGGCCCGGTCAGAAATCAACCACCCTATTCCGACACTCCTCCCAGACTCATGTTTCCAGTGGATTGTCGCATGGTA